GAATAGATCCGATGGCTAGATGAAAGGGCTTTGTTAATGGTGCCACTTAGATTGCCACTCGAGTGGTGGTTGCTCATGCTCAGGTCTCGGCAAATGGGGGGGCTGATAGTTTTCTCGGCTAGAAAGACGACTGGAAGCCGTTGTAGAAGAGCTCAGATGAGTTTCTACTCAGGAAACGAGTGAATTCCTGGCCGACCTTGCCACGGGTTGCGTGGGAAAGAACCGAGATGGTGACGGTTCAGGATCAAGGAGCCCCCCGACAGATGGTTTTCAAATGTCTTCAGATAGCTGCCAAGGCAGTTATGCCTGCATGGACCAGCGCCAGTGTAAAATAATGTAGCCTGGCTGCAATCTGACAAGCAATCAACTTCTCTTCAGTATTGCTTTGGCGCCCTTTGATGGCATGCTTCAAGAGAAGTTCAATCCCTTCCTGGGGTAGCATATCTTTCACTTCCGTCAAATTTGGAGATAATGCATCAAGATGGCGGTTGCGTGATGTAATGATCACATTTCCTGTGTTTGCTTTGGGTAAAAATTGCCCAAGGTTGATTTGTGGATCATCAGCATTATCCATCACAACTAGCCATTCTTCCTTGTCATTTTCTAGCAATTGGAGCCCTACTCTCCAGCTATCAAGCTGCTGAATTCCATTCTTGATTGCAATGTCATAATAGCTTGCTTGAATAGATTCTTCAGAATGAGCTGAAATAAAGTAGTGCTTGGTGAATCTGCAAAATAAATCAGTAGGAAAACACAATATGATGCATCTGCTCAGGGTATTCATACCTTGTTTTCAATTGCTGTACAAACTCCAAAACACATTGTGTCTTTCCGGCCCCACCAATACCTAACAAAAGAAATATTTCTCTCCGTTGCCATGGGCTGAAGCCGCTGAACTCCAAAATAAGTTTCCATCTCCACCAAGATATCCTTCCGCCCTGTGAAAAAAGGTGTGGCTGCAGGGAAATTAGTCATTCCTGGCATATATCCTGACAATTTGCTCAGCCTGGCTGGAAAGCAATGAAGACCAAGATATTGTATACCTGCTGGAGGAGTACTTTTAATCTCTGCCCTTGAGTTCTCAGTGGTATGTATAACCTGAAACGATGATCTCTCTATGTGAAAGTTTGATTCCCCTGCAAAAAAGTGACCTCTGTAGATTGTACCAATCATACCCAAATTATACCCTGAGTGATATTTAGATACTTACGTTGCAGACATTGCAGACATTGCGACTTGTAGGTTGATAGTCAAAGTGGGGATGAAAAGTGGGGATGACAAGACATGCGACGAGACCGGCCGCGTTTTATAATAAATGGTTGCCAGTCAGGTGCCGCAAATGATATCGGCCGGCCACTAACCAGATCTGGACTGATATAGATATAGACGCAAGTTCTCACGCTATTTGCACCAATGAGTGAACCAGGGGCAAGTGATTTTAAATTTGTGGTGTTCTTTACCATTTTTTCCATAATTCTCAGCAGTCTACAACCAAGAGCAAAGATTATTTTAAGAAAGATAGGCCGCGTCCTTTGTATGGACACCGAATTTTTGATCTCTGCAAGCAGGGCGCATACTCACACTGCCACTGTCCGTATATACTTCGATTCATACATTAGACTGCCATCCCGTATAACGATTACTACCATGCTGTATCTTCCTGTCGCCTGAAGCCTCGCTTTGCCTCTAGCATATAACATGGTTCTTGCATGGTTCTGTCAATGCATGCATCCTTTCGTTAGTGTTCTCAGAAGAGGCCCCCGTGAATTGTGATAACAGATAGCCTTAGTTGTTGAATCTGTGATCGTGAACTCCACCCTTTTCGAACTAGAGCAGCGGCTATCTGTTATGACCCGGATCTAAATCCTATACACCCAATCTTTTTTCTTCTGTAACCAACTATGAACACTATCATTAATACTTCTACTTAACATTTTACATTCATTAGTTATTCAACACCATTTGGGTTAATGCTGCACACATTCTTCCAGAACACCAGAATGATCTTTAACAGTCACTGCACAGTCTGCACAGTCATGACATCATTCTAGCTCCACAACTATGATGTCATCTTGCTACTCCACAATCATGATGTCATTCCATTGCTTCGCAGTTATGATATCACATCACTGCTCCACAGCTATGACATCATTGCATAGCCTCTTTACATCAATGACTCAATATCAGTCATTGCACAGCCAGATATCTGAGTCAACTACGGTTCCGCATACATGACTCAATATTAGTCATTGCACAGCATTACATAGTCAGACTGACTCATCCGCAGTATTTCTGCAGTTATGACTCAAATCTAGTCATTCCGCAGCATTTCCTAACTAGTACACATTGCACAGTATATAAGTAGTCTAGATTTACCAATGTACGTTAGACGTATTATTTTCTTAAATCCAAACCCCCACTTGTTTGCTGTTATCAATTGTGTGAATCACCAGACCAACTCATTGTATATTGTTGAGCTATCTCCAAGTTACAATACACATTTATACATCTTGTTGAGCTAACTCCAAGTTGTATCCACTAACATTCACCTGTTGAGCTATCTCCTAGTGAATACTTCTTTAATTGCCACTTGTTGAGCTATCTCTGAGTTGCAACTTCCTATTACTTGTTGAGCTATCTCCAAGTATTAGACATCACACTCACTATTACTTGTTGAGCTATCTCCGAGTACTAGACACCACACTCACTATTACTTGTTGAGCTATCTCCGAGTACTAGACACCACACTCACTACTACTTGTTGAGCCATCTCCGAGTACTAGTTCTGATTCATATTACTGCTTGTTGAGCTATCTCCGAGGGTAATCTTATTATTATTATTTGTCGAGCTATCTCCAAATAATAACTTCTGTGAGTTTTGTATTACAAACTAGTTACTAACTTTACTTGAGCCTAGTTGTTTGAGTATATATTTTTTGCCTAGCGGTTTCAACGAACGGAAAGGCTTGCTCTATAATCTCATTAATTTCTCTTATCATTTTTACTGCCAAGTTACGTACTGTGAAGGTTTGGACGAGACTATTGATCGAGTCATAACACTATCAAAAATGCTCAATCAAACATTGTTCGAATTCACACTGACACCCGGCTACATCGCTGTTGGGTTCATTCCCTTGTCCAGCTCAAGCCCAGCCCCACTCATCCCTTCAACAAGTTGTCAAACATCGTTATTACCCAATCAACGCATGTTTGCGGCCACTCAAACGTATTGACCTATATGCTCTATCATTATTTCTACTTAGTTGGGGCGCCCTTTATGTATTTAGTCGTTCAGTATGGCGTAGGTTCAAATCCCACTTTCGTGGTGCATTGTTCAATAAGAATCAAGATGAGTCCTATGCTTTTCCATGTACGTGCAATGCTTAATAGACTATCTAATGCCCATGTCAACGGACTCTAAACAAAAGTTAAGATAAAGAGATAGCGCCTACTTAGTGCTGTACCCTACTTCAACGCCCAATTTCTGGAGCGGGACGCATATGGAGAGCGCTATTCATAGCCGATTTTCATTCTTCAGTTATGAGTCATCACAGATCGACTGGACAAGCTATTAGAAGAGCTATCAGTACGAAAATTTCAACATATGAATTCAAAGTCATTCGGGTCAAAGCCTTGTGAATAACTAGAGAATCGTCAAGAGTGAGCCCGAATCCAAGTATATGGCTAGTTAATAGTCTGTGACAGTTGTATATTTGAATCCTGATGCATCGATGCGTATGGACAAAACGCAGTATGATAGATCCAGCTTTGACTCGTAGGAGTTTTATATCAACACAGCGCACAGCCTCAGTGCCAGCACTTCCATGTTCGCCTTAGGGTCAGCCTTAGGTGTCTTTACCCATAACGAGAATCAAACGACATTGGTTCATTACAAGAATACTTAGGTTTTTAACATCTGGGAAGACTTGCCATATAGCGAAAATGGATAGAGATAATAGATTAGAGAAGTGGCACAGGCATTGATTACAGTCAGTTACATGTTACAGTCTGGCCTTATAAGCAGCATACGCTGCAAGAACATCATCTTTTTGCTAGAAGAACATAGTTGCAGACTGTCACACATCAACGTTCAACTGCGAAAGTTAAAAAACACACTTTGTCCTCCTCTCTTTCATCTACTTCAGATTGTAAACAGCTTTTAGTTCTCTTTGGAGTAATCAGCACATCCTTGCCTTCTGTCTCCAAAACCCAGCTATCTTCATACAGATTCACCTCTATTTCGACTGGTTCTATATCTGTCTCGCCGCGTCTTTCGTATACCGTCCAATTCCATTTCCCCAAAACCCAACATACCTCGCCGTATAATTATCGTACCCCACCATTGAAAACAAGAAATCCTCATCATCACTGAAGAAAAGATGTCAAGACCTCTATTATGAACGCGCAAATAAACAGCTTCAGATGAGTCATGGGATCCTGGGATCAAGAGCACTACGACGAATATCATCGTGTTTGCTGATGACGACGCGATTTGGCCGCCAACGCTGCTCCCATAGGTGCTGGCCTGTTTTGAGGACCAGAAGATCGGAGGCGTGGGCACCAGTCAGCGCGTGCAGCGGAGATGACGGTATGAAAGGTTCTTCTGGTGTTCAGACTTTCGATACGGAACATCGAGACCTCGTGTTCGACCCATATCGATGGAGGGCTCCCGTGTCTCTCTAGAAGGACCACGGCGTATCCGATTATCTATATCATCCTCAAAGATTCCGAGTTTCTGCATGGCGCACGACTACTAGCTTGCATTTCCCGATTTGGAAGGTTCCTTCTTTTCTTTTGCCTCCTTTTATATTCTATTCCTCCGGATGCCCACACTTCCTCTTTTATTCAACCTTCCGTGCCGACTCAGTACTCCTCCCCATTCACTTGCTGCTGCATTATTAGTTACCAATTAGTTACTAGTTACTAGTTACACCTCGATTTCTAAAGACCGTAATTTCCAGTTTCAAGCACAGTACTGAAATTCGAAAGCCTCCTTGTAATCCTCCTTAGCTCAGTTGGTAGAGCGCGTCACTCGCATTGGATATGCGTTTCGGTATTGATTGTTATATAATGACGAGGCAGTCGTTCAAGTCGACTAGAAGGAATACAGAATACAGAATATCTTAGCAAGATGCTTTTTGCTCTTCCGCCGATAACGCGATAACTTCATCCGTGCCATAGTATACCCTGAGTATTCCAATTGCACTTTGAAACTTTCATGAGGGCCCGAGGGCCCGACGCCTGACCTTGACAACGTTACAAGCTACTTTTCTCTCAACTGTTTGTTCAATGCAGATAGCAATAGCGCAGCTACGTTCAGATTTCAATCTCTTCGATGTCCAGCCGTACCAAGTTCCAGTTCCTCCCAAAAGATAGCCAAAAAGTCAAAATTTGATAGCTCAGCGTGCTCAGCCCGTCACTCCTTCCAAGAACACGTCTGCTCATTTGAAGGCTGACAATACCGTCTGCTAGACTCGGTCCTCCATGGAATCTGCTTTCCGCGTCGCTAGTGTTGTAACGCCAGTGGTTTGCTTATACGAGATTAACGACGAAGCCAGTCGTTCAAGTCGGCTAGAAGGAATGCCATGGCAATTAAAGTCTTTTTTGCTTGGTGAGCAGTACATTAACGGCCTCTTAAAGCTTCTGGCCTTGAACTGCCTTTGGTACAGAACAAGGCCATACCATGACTTTTCTTTCTACGACTTTATAAACATTCAGATATTTAACTACAATTTCAAGACGGGTAAACAGTGGCTCTCAACATTCCCACTTGAGCTGCTACATATGTAGAACCATTGAAACCTGCCTATTCAAGTACAATGTTCAGCAGTTGCTTATATACCGCTTAGTTTAGTTGGTAGAGCGCGTCGTTAGATGATCTAATTACGAGGTCAGTCGTTCAATTCGGCTAGGAGGAATATCGGCCGGTTCATACAGCACAGAGTTTTGTCAATTCTTTTTGCTCTCTGAGTAGTGCTAACTACTTCTCTTTGTACTTCGTTCTCCGACTTTCAATCTATGAAACTTTTTTTCAAGACAGGCTGCTACCTGGATAGCCTAGGATTACTACCAGTTTAATATCCTAGACCAGGCTTCGTTTCCTGCAGCTCGTTTGTTCATAAGCATCGGCAGAAACGAGAATGATCGAACGATGCACTACTGGGCCAAAAGTTTCCTATTGGACAAATGGTATTACTATCTAATACTTAACATCCATAGAATTACATTATCCTGTAAAAAATAAAAAAAATAATGATACTACCTATACAACAGTCCAATGAACCTCTACTCGACAATGCACAAAGGAGTAGCCGTCCCCCGAGGCGAAAGCCATAAGTTAATCTCGCGTCCAGCACAAGCTAGCACCTATCTACCAAACTGTTTTTCGGAAATGTCTTATTGTATCCTGAAATACTCGTCTGCCATGATGTCAAATTCGGATTGCTGTATGCTGGAAGGTTCGCGTTTATATAGTCGAGGGTTGGCATACTCGGTGGATTACACCCGATGTTCTTGGCATTGGAAGGTTGATACACTCTAATCCAGTCGATACGCATGACAGCGGGAAAGACTAGATGGGCAAAATCGAGAAAGTTGAAGCTGCCAGACATTCCGAGGTTGGCGATTATATACTGCGAAGGTAGGTTTGATATGAATAACGAGCATCAGGTAGACATTAAGGGACTCGTACCATAGGTTCTTCAGGGATTGGTCTGGCGGATATATTGGTGAGTGAATCACCGCCGACCCCAGCTGCGTTCAGCGTCCACGCGGGTTGACCATCTGATACCTGTGAGGGAAATGAACACAAGCGCAATCGAAAGAAATCGAAAGACATACCCAGGTTATATACTATGAAACAAATACTTTAGACGCGTGGATTAAGCGTAGTAATGAACATCACTCACAGCGTCGTCCGCCGTGTAACCGGGTTTATACTCGATTGCATACGTCGAGAAACAGTCCTCGTTCAGCTGATAGCAGCGTTGATCTATATCAGATTTTCAGTACGCTTGTATTTCATCAAAAGGAAGAGGCGTACTCGTCTGGGTTACATAAGACGTAGCTTGCTGTAGTGGCCCTCCACTGTAGGAATTCTGGATTGAGATACTTGTATTGTCGACGGACATCCCTTGACTATTGTTCATAAACTCGTATGCGTTGTTGAAGGGCTAGAATTTTGACGGAGATTGATTCAGGCAAGTTCGAATAGCGAACAATTCAAAGTACGCACCGCCCATTGAGCACTCTGTGAAACACATCCAGTCGTCCCGTCAACCTGAGCCTCAAATAAATCAATCTCTGGCGCTGATCGACCGACGAAAGTGCCATCTGCGTGCTTCGGTCCAGGGTGTTCTTCGCCAGAGCATGTACATCTCGAAAGACGCTGTCCAGGAAGACCTGAGATACTCTCGTTCTGGTGCGGGCCCTGTTCGTTGGCGGCGGCAGGTTGCCCGTTGATCGTTTGGTTTGCTACAGTACCAACATCACATTCTTTTGATTTTTTCAGCAAGATAAACGGGCTAAGGGATACTGTGACATCTCACCGTCGTACGAATATGGCCACTGCCAGAAAATCACTCAGACTGTCGTCAACGGAAATTTCAACGCCCCACTCACCATTCCTTCCAAAGTTGCGCCATACCCCACTCTCCCCAGGTTGCCTAAAGTCCATACACTAGGCCACAGACCGGATACGTTATTCTGCCCAGGTAATGAGACGCTCGCTTGAACAATTCCTCCGGTGAAACAAAACTTGTTCCACGTCGCAAGCATCCCGCCTTGATAATCCAGTCCATGAGAAGGCGTTTTCGATAGAGTGATCTCGAGGGAACCATTTCGAGTAGTTATCGCAGAAGGATCATACCAGTTTAGGTTACCGGTCTAAGCGATGATAAGGACAAAAAACATAGTATGAAAATCGGATATAACTGACCTGCCAATACTGAAGGTTCACTGCGACACTAAGGTCAGGTTGATCGAAAACAGGGTTACATGATACACCAACCTGCCTCCCAGTACGGGTCATCTCCGGGATAAAACGACCTTCCGTCCGTATTAAATTCATCACTGAAAACCAGCTGCCACTCTGTTCCATCCTGGTAAGATATCTGCGTTTTCGCTTCGTCGGGAGTTTCGAGGTCGATCAAGCCCCAGTTCCCTGTCATTTGTGGTATCTCATCAGAAAGATAGGGTTAGCTGATGCTGCGTACGAACAACATTCGAGAACACACCTGTCCCGTTGCATTAATTCCCAAGTTATTCAATCGATGTTTAGTGAAAAACTGGGCGACAGGATAACCAACACTGAGTTTCTTCGTCAGTTTTTTTGTAACATGTTGTGACAGATACGCACAATAAGCCCAAAAGACATATTAGCAGTGCTATTATACATCCCACGTTTGTCAAACCACGCCAAGTGAACACGGTCCCTCTTGACAGACGGATCCGCGGGTCAGGATTGTGTAGCTGATCATCAACCTCAGGTGTAGAAACTAAGAGGTTCGTGTCCCAGCTTTCCGGATTATACTAAAATCAAGCAAGATGGGCACAGAGACAGTAAGCTCGTTCAACGAAAGTAAATACCGAATCATTAGAAAGGGTGCTGGCAGGCCTGGAAGTGTTTCCTGGCGATGGCTGATAGGAGGTTCGATAGGAGGTTCGATATGAGGTTCGATTTGAAGTTCTATTTGACGCAGCTACGAAAATTGGTTGGCAAACTGCCTCTACATCGAAGAAATTATCACTCACCGTATTTCCCCGAAAAATGACTCGGTGGCCCATAAGATTGTGGTCCCAATTGCGATTTTTCACCCCAACTCGCTGTCTGCGGAGAAGCAGGGATCACCGGAAGATAAGTACCCCTTCCAGTCTGCATCTTGAAATAACTAGAAACTAAGAAAATAAAGAAAGAGCGTGTGAAGCCAGGTAGCGAACGTCGTCGATGTGAAGGTGATTGGGTGAAGGAGGGAAAGGATTTCAAGGAGAAAGGACACTATCTAACCATCCCTGCATTCTGTATGGCGATTTAAGGCAGACGGCATATGAAGCCCGTCCAAATATGTCGATCCGTGATCCGTGTATTTCCTCCATGCTTGATCCATACAAGCTGACTGATGTACAGACTTGTACAGAATTGCCGTGATAACACACCGTTTCTCGGGCATGCGTACTGTATAGAGATATTCAAAAAGATATACCCAGGATACCCATCCAGCCGTCGTTTTCTCTCGTTTCCTTGACGTTTGTAGGTGATTCAATATCAGCTATAAAAGCGTCCAAAGTGCGGGCATTGGTGACTCAACCACTGTTGGTTGAAGCCTGAAGCTTGCTCGAGGAATGGGAATCAAAACCTCAGGAAGAATTTCAATGATGGTTACGATCCGAGTCGGAGTCGCTAGGCAAGCTGATCACATGAGCGCTCCGTGCCTTACCTCCCGCTACGCCGGATTCCGTCCCGGTTCCGAATTCACAGCAAAATCAGTGCACAAGCACAGAACAGTTTTTACACCGCTCTTGGACTCCTTAGGTTCGAGACTTTGGCGACCACATAATACAACCCCATCCAGACCCCATCCCCCTCCTATCTCTTGCTATGCTGTCCTAGGAGGTCGGAAGACCGAAACAGTGAGGCAGTGAGGCGTGAGTTTCAGGACCCTTTGAATGATCCATAGTGGGCAAGAGTGTATACCATCTATTGTTGTATACAAACATATACCATACATTGGTGTATACGTACGTATACCATCTGTTAGTGATTTAATCTGTAGTCGAACGTCGAAACCTTGAAGCCTAAAACTTGGTAGAGAAATGCAGGCTGCAGGAGTCAGAACCTTGGTCAGAGGGAGATGGCAAGGTAATCAATTCACATGAAAGCTGGCTTACTATCTTACACCGCCACCTGTTCAGCGTTCAACTCAGTGCGTATGGACAAAGTTCACAATTCACAGCATTTATCTATCATAAAAAATCAGCAAGTGTAGCCCGAAACAAATCTGATACCGCTCCTTTAAGTTAGGATGAGACTTTGGCTACTATCTCCTCCTATCCTCTCCAGACCCCTATCATTCAAGTGATGTTTCAAGCTACATCTCATCCATCGTCTGGGGTTGAACGGATCCATGTCGGATGCCTCAAGCCTCCTCTAGCTTCTACATACACCGGTTTCAAATTATAATGTCCTTGCGATTCCTAATAGGAGTCTGGACGTTACTATGTGCTGGAGCTGTGTGACTCATCCAACTCTAGAGCTTCGAATTCAATGAACTAGAAAATCAAAACGTATACCATCTGGCATTATCATTATGGTAGTCAGTTCTGGGAGATGGAACGATACGAAAACGATGGAAAGGACATAACGTTTCACAAAGACATAGAGGCATACAGATTGCACTGCCAGTTTTGAGTTGATACAACAAATCCGAAAGAGCTACAGAGAAGGATACACTAAAATAATGGCTCGATGTTCCGGTGATCCGCGTCCAGAAAAACATGCAAACGAAACCCGTCCAGCCAAAGTTGAATTCTGAACGTCCATAGAATACATAGCAGTGACACAGAAAAGAAAACAGGAAACGAAAAGGTAACCCACAACAGGCGGATTTACCTCCAACTCCACCTCTACTCGGTCCGCATCGGATAACTCTCCATCTCCATCACATCTCTTTCGCTCCCGCTGCCCCTTCCACTCGGGTCCCTCAAGCTCCTCATAAACCCTCCAAGTCGATACTCGTATCCCTGTCCATGCGCAGTTCCACTCCCAGACCCACTAGCAACGGCCGTTCCCGAGCTCCCACTACCAATCGCCGTTCCCGAGCTCCCACTTCCACTCCCACGACCCCGATAGTCGTACACCTGTCCATCATCCAAGACTCTCCTCCGCATAACTGGCGGCGCTCCCATATTACTGATATTGTCG